TCTTACTGTAGCTTTTTCCATATAAATAAAATGCTTTTTCTACTATCTGTCTTGATTACTTAATACAAAAACCAAAACTGCTTGATCTGTCCTTAAGGATCAAAACTCTAGACTTTTTCATGAAGACTATTTCCAATGTGGAAAATTAAATCTTTTTTTTGTATTTAAAAGAAACTTGGGAGTGAGTTCTGTGGTACACATGAAGAAAAGAGAACACCTTGTAGGAGTCAGTTCTCTTCTTCCATCATGGGGTTCTTTAAAATCCAGCTCAGGTCACTTTGGTCACCTCTAACCCTTGACCACCCCGCCTACTATCTTGGCATTTCTAATAACCACTTTATTCCAGTAAGTTAGTACCTCTTTATCAGCTTGTTGGCTATGAGGTCATTTACTTGGTCCGTTGTTGTAGATGAGAATTTAGAAGCGGGGGTTTTATCCACATCCAAGATGAATTACTTATAAATGTCCCAAAGGACTGTGGGTTTGTATCCCCTACCCTAAAGAATGGTCTTGATAACTCTGAGGAATGTCCAGGTTGACTTGTGAGAAAGACTCTCAATATTACTGCCATGACATCACTCAATGTTTTAAAGTCTGGAATCTCTAAAATAGAATTTTAATGCCATCACAATTTGAAAAGTATGTGTAAATGGTTAAGAATCTGATGGAACTACTTGGTAGCAAAAAAAAAAATCAACTCCATTGATTATTTTGTCATGATTTGTTATTATTGGAGCACAGGCTAGCCTCTTAGGAAATACATCTTTATGAATGATTGTAAAAATAATTAAATAAAATGTGAAATGGATGTGTAAGAAAATACTGGGTCTGAGAAATAGAGATATTAATGTCTTGAAGTAACCATCTCATGAACAAAACCCATGTTACTGTCCATTCTATGTGAACTACATGTCTCTTGAGGTTAGGTGCTCTCATATTTAGATAATATTTAGTGTGTTGTGAAAGTAAGAGATTTTGTTTCTTGAGTATCTTAAAGTATCACTTGAAAAAATTCCTTTGTGCTGACGATGGTGGTACATACCTTTAATCTCAGCATTCAGGAGGCAGAGACAGGAGGATCTCTGAGTGTGAGGCCAACTGGTCTACCTAGCAAGTTCTAGGCCAACCAGGGCTATAGTGTCAGAGATCATATCTCAAAAAAAAAAAACTAATAAAATTTTTTTCCATTTGTATGGCATTTACTTTTAGAAGTGTCTTTGTGTTTTCTTTTTAAAAGTGGTGTGTGTGTGTGTGTGTGTGTGTGTGTGTGTTGGCGGAGGCTGCTCGTTCATTCCCAGCTGCCAAGACTCGAAATAAACACTCAGAAACTGTATTAATTAAATCACTACTTGGCCTATTAGCTAGCTCTAGCTTCTTATTGGCTAGCTCTTACATCTTAAATTAACCCATTTCTATTAGTCTGTGTATCGCCACATGGCAATGGCTTACCAGGTAAAGTTCTATCCAGCATCAGGCATCTATCTGGCATCTGTCTCTGGCTACAAAAGCCTGGATGTTTGGGTTTTCCCCCGGGGCCCCTCGAACCAACAACTCAATGAGATGTCTAAGGCTGCGGTTCTTACTGGGAGCTAACTGTGCTGGCATTCTGTGCCCTTCAAAAGCCTAGTTCCCAAGAAGGAAGCAGGTGTTAGCCATAAATCACATTTATTGTGTTTACTTAAAAACTGCGGGTGGGTTAGCGTAGCGGGCACCAGCTTATCCCTTTGGGAAAGTTATCTGGCCAACAGAGCTTCCCAATAGCAGGCTTGTAGAACTCCTATAAGACTCCTTTCCCCTTGAATCACTTGGTACCCTGTTGAAAACCCACCAAGGTGTCCCTCTGGATTCTCGATTCTATTCCTCCAAACTCCCGTAGCTTTGACTTTTTAAATGAAGTATGGGCCTTCCCACTTCATTCTTTTTGTTACTGACTTGCCAGCTCCATGGTAATTCCCCAAGCCCTTTAGAATCAGCTTTTTTTGTCTTTGTGTGTGCACCCAGGTATATGCAGATATGCAGATTCCTACAGGTGGAGGCTGGCGGTCAATCTCAGATTGCTTCCTCAATTCTCTGACCTATTCATTTGTCATGTGGGTGTGTGCTGTGTTGTAGAAAGCCCTGAAGCCAATTATATCTAACGTTTTAAAAACTTGGTGGAGGGCTGGCTCAGCCGTTAAGAACACTGACTGTTCTAGAGGTCCTGAGTTCAATTCCCAGCAACCACATGGTGGCTCACAACCATCTTTAATGAGATCTGGTGCCCTCTTCTGGGGTGCAGGTATGCACACAGGCAGAACACTGTATACATAATAAAGAAATAAATCTTTAAAAAACACTTGATGGAGAAGATTAATCTGCCAGATGTGAATGGCTCACTGAAATCAGTATGTGTGTGATCTGCAAGAGGTGTGACAAAAACAATCGTTTAGGGATGTTGACTCAGAGCGAGCCGTTTGAATGGGCTACAGCCTTTTAACCTTGAATTCAGCGACAGCTTCTGTGTGTGCAGGGGGCCAGTGCGTTCCTGGCGGCACGTCTGCCTTTGCTGCGTGAGCCAGCACAATCTCAGCTCTGACTCTCAGCCTTCTTCCTGTGTGATGGCGACAGCTTCCTCCCTGGTCGCTTCTGCTTTTCCCACTCCCTTTTCTCGAAATGCTCCCGTCAGAGGTTGCCTAAAACCCAGCTTAGCTGTGCCAGTCATCTGTGGCAATCGTTCTGCCGTCTCTGCTGACAGACGTCCTGCGTCCTGTGCTACGCTCAGTTCTCCCCAAGCTAACCGCACCCGACCTCTTCGCGGTCGCTTCAGTCACTCCTTGGCGTATTTGTTCTCTTCAGAGCACCGAGACCTCACACACACTCGTGACTTGCAGCTTCCCGTTTCTAGGGAGCACCCCACATTTTCTGCACTTGACAACAGCGGTTCCAGTGTCACCTACTTCCCAAAGCCGTTCCCCTGCTCTCCTAGGCAAACAGAAACAGATGGGTCAGGCCTTAGTCATCTTGGTATTTTTAGAACTTATCACCGTGTGTAACATAGGACAGGCCTGTCTGAGAAACTGAAAACATTTTTAATTATTACAGAAGTATGTATATATTTTTAATATTGCATTTTAGGAAAACGTTGATGTAACAGAAATATATGTAGTAAAAATGAAAATTTCCCACTTTCTCCTGCAGTATCTAGATAGAATCACCACTACCTTAAGTTTTTAATATTTTGCACTTTTTAAAAGTTTCCTAAAGTTACCTTTGAGATTATAATTATCTCTTTCCCCTCTTCCTTTCTCCCATAACACTCTCCATATACCCCTCCTTGCTCTTTCAAAATCATAGCCTATTCTTCATTAATGGTTGTTACATACATATAAGCATGCATATATAATATATATATATACCTGCTCAGTTAGCATAATGTTACTTGTATCTGTACTCTTTTTTTTTTTTACATAGGTATCCATGAATGTGTTTTGTTTCTTTTTTTAAGATAAGAGTTTCTCTGTGTAACAGCTCTGGATTCATTACATTAGTAGTAGCCCTGTGCCCTGGGAGCTCTTGGAGAACCTGTTCTGGGAGCCAGGGTTTCACATACACCCACTCAGGTATTCCCAAGCATGTTTGTCTCAGACTGTTGTCCAAAGCCCCTTGTTCGCGTGGGAGGGCTGCACCCTTCCCATCCGCACCAACAGGGGCTTACTGAGTGGAGTGTCAATGTGGAGATTCTAAAATGATTTATGAAATAATCGACTTGGATGAGTGAAGAGGGAAATTTAGGTAGAGTGCAAAGATCATGACTTTTGTTCATCGAATTTTATTTTTTTTAATTTATTATTATTATTATTATTTTTGGTTTTTTGAGACAGGGTTTCTCTGTGGTTTTGGAGCCTGTCCTGGAACTAGCTCTTGTAGACCAGGCTGGTCTCGAACTCACAGAGATCCGCCTGCCTCTGCCTCCCGAGTGCTGGGATTAAAGGCGTGCGCCACCACCGCCCGGCTCTGTTCATGGAATTTTAAAATTGGGTCTAAGGCGATGGGCCTGCAAGGCGAGGTCTGGGTTCTGTAGAGAGTACAGGAACCATGAGGTAATGACACTCAGTGGGTCTGTGGACACTGAGCTGAAAGGAGATCTTGGTTACATGTAGAACAGTGGAACCACGAGGTTCAGACGGACAGTAGAATTATGGACATCGAGGACAAAATCCAGAGAAAGGCTGTGCTGTTTGTTTCTTAGAGGTAAATAAAAACCAGAAGTCCTTTTTGTTCAAAGAAAGTTCAAGCAATGTTTCCTTCGTAAATACGCATTTACAATAAAATCACTACATCGTAATGGTTGATATCTGATGAAAACAAACCTGGGTTCTTTATTTATTATTATTATTTTTGTTTTTTCGAGACAGGGTTTCTCTGTGGTTTTGGATGGGTTGTTTATTTTTTGACACATTTACTTGTGTGTGTGTGTACGTCAGAGGGCAATTTGCTTGAATTGGTTCTCTTTCACACCATGGCATTGAACTTGACTTGCCAGCTTTGAGGTCAAGCACCTCTACTCACTGTGACATCCTGGGAACCCCTTTCTATTAATTATAAAAGAGGGATGAGTTTCATGACCACACCTCCCGCTCCTCCACCCTCTAGTAGCCCCGTGCTCTCTTGTGGGCTCAGATGAGACACAGTGGGATTCAGGCATTCTGCGGCTCGGGCATATCTGACCTCAAGGGCCAGGCACTGTGACACAAATCGCAGCACCAGCGTCACTGACCTGAGCTGGGGGGTGAGGACCCTGTCCCCCAACAGCCTGCAAGCCGCAAACAGAACACACAGCGGGGCGGCTAGCAGCCCCCGCGGCTTAGAAACACCAGCTCGGGACCAAGCCCTCCAGGGCGGGCTCCGCCCCTTCCCAGCCCCGCCCACCGAAGTGCGGGGAAGGGGGGGGACGGACGCACACTGCTTTCGGTCCGCCCCGCCTCCTGCCTCAGACCGGAAGTCCGGGCTTCCCACAGTGCCCCGCGCGCGGCGGGCAAGATAACAAACGCCCGGGGCTCCCACGCGGCTTGTTCGGCTGTGTGGACACCGCGGTGTGTACCACGACGGCTGCTCGCAAGCGGCGCCGCGCCAGCGCCTCGTCGGCCCGAGCGATGGCGCTGTTCCGGGGAATGTGGGGTGCGCTAAGGGCACTCGGACGCTCGGGGGCCGAGATGTGCGCGGGCTGCGGGGGTCGCCTGCCCTCGCCGCTCAGGTAGGCCGCGGGGCGAGAAGCGCCGCACGTCCATCATCCGTCTGTCCTCTCGTTCCACCCGACTCTCCGGGCCACCAGGGGCCTTGCGCTTTTGGTGCCCGACCCCCACTTCCTGTCACCTTCTACCTTTGGGCGCCCAGGGCTCCCGCCTTCCTCTCGTGTCCTGGAGGCGGAGCCGGAGCTGTGGCGCGGAACGCTCGCCCCTGTTCTGTTCTGACTGCCAGGATTTGTGCTTTAACGCTGCAGCCCCTTCTGTTTGGCTAGGTCACCCAGGGGCCGGGGTTTGTGCTTTAACCCTGCAGCTCCTTCTGTTTGGCTAGGTCCCCAAGGGCGCCAGGACTGGTGCTTCAAACCTGCAGCCCCCTCTTTAGTTTGTCTAGGTCACCCAGGGCGCCGCGTTTGCAGGCTACAGCCCCAGCAGTCTCTTACTTGGTTATTGCAGGATTTTAAAGTAAGTCTTAAGGCTGGGGAGTAGCTAGTTGTGGAGCACTTTTTAACGTGCTTCTACAAATGAAACCCTTGAATTTATTCTTAGCGCAGCAGAGGAGAGAGAAATAAAGGTTATTAGCATTTCTGGCGAAGGTGTTGGTTATTTAGCGCCTTAGCTGACGTTCTATTTAGAACGTGAGGTCTGTGTACAGGAGAGGTAAATAGCTGACCTTCTGACATTCGATTCTTTAATCCGCGTGTAGCCTTATCTGTATTCCGAAATGTTTTTCATCCAACATGGGTAATCATCCAAAGAAACCAATGAGTTCATACCTTCGATTTTCTACAGAACAGCTACCCAGATTTAAAGCTAAACACCCAGGTAAGAAGCTTGTGACTTAATGCTTTCTCTAACATGATTTTCTTTTTTAACTGCAATCTTGATTTGCACTACCAGAGCATCTGGCAACAATCATTTTCTTTAATGATCTGTATAATATCTTAGAACTAATAGAAATTCTTTGAATACAAATGAGAAACGAGAACAGTATTTTTAAAAATAACCTGTAGAGTGGAGAGCACTCTAGAGAAAAAAGATAAAGTTGAGATCTAGTTGCCCTGGGCTTAGAAAACCCGCCGACGAATTTCTTTCTTTCTTTCTTTTTTTTTTTTTATTTTTTTTAAATATTTATTTATTATGTATACAATATTCTGTCTGTATGTATGCCCACAGGCCAGAAGAGGGCACCAGACCCCATTACAGATGGTTGTGAGCCACCATATGGTTGCTGGGAATTGAACTCAGGACCTTTGGAAGAGCAGGCAATGCTCTTAACCTCTGAGCCATCTCTCCAGCCCCGAATTTATTTCTTTCTCACTCGCTCTCTCGCTCTTAGATTTTTTGAGGCAGGATTTGTAATAGTTCTGGTTGTCCTGGAACTCACTTTGTAGACCAGGCTGGTCTTGAACTCACTGAGATCTGCCTGCCTCTGCCTCCCAAGTGCTGCGCTGGCATTAAAGGTGTGCACCACCATGGCCCTGCGAATTCATTTATCTCTTGCATAGCACTTGCTTCTTCAATAGAACATTGTTTGTAAAGGTGCAATAAAATAACTGACCAGGAAGTGTTCTGTAAAATATAATGGTCTATACAGATCATTGCTAGCTTCTTTGAAAATTATCTGAGTTCTTGAAAAAAAAGAAAGAAAAGATTGGCAAGTAGGAAATATTTCCAGGTAGTCTAAGAAAGGGTCGTCGGGCCTTCATTTGAGTGTAAAGATAATAGCTGAATAAGTTGGTCGTTCCTAAGATTTCCAATGCCCTTTTACTTAAAGTACCTCACGGGGCACTTGTGAAAATCATGTGAGCTGTAATTAAAGTTCTTCTGTTGGAGGTAAGGGACAGACAGTGAACTTTTAAGAGACATGCTTATACCCATACTCCTGTCTTCTAAAATGTAACACTTGCCACTAAGGCATGGTCGATAAACAGTTGTGTCCCTGGTTAAAACAAAGGACTGGAGAATAATGGATTAATTTTATATTAGTTTTATATCTGAATGGTATTTCTATAATTGAAATGCAAGATGATATTGTATCAACAAGACTAATTTGTAGTTTATTTGGGGTTACTAACAATGATTTCTGAAAGACGTGACAGAATGTTTCTATTGAAATACAGAAGTAAGAAACCTGAAGCAGTTGATTTCTCGGGTGCTTACAGTAGCAGTGGCTTTCCAAGGGCTGTCTTTGGTAATCTGTAACATGCTCCTTAAAGCTAAACAACAGTTTCCTAGCATTTCTAGATAAAATTGTGTTTGGAGGGTGTAGAGATGTATGTAATTAGCTTGATTTTTAGAGTGAGCCACTAGGCTATTTTCGAAATCTTGTAGATGTTAACCCCTAAGAGATAAAATTGAGACATCCATTTTGATTCTGTTCTAATTTGTAGATGCAAAACTTTCAGAACTGATTAGAAAAATTGGGGCTGCATGGAGGGAACTACCGGATGCAGAAAAAAAAGTAAGCATTTATGTTTTCAGTAGTTGTGTAGTTAGGGATGTAAGCTTGTTCAAAGACTAGTTAGCTCATACTTTTTTCTTTTAGACGGGGGTCTCTGCTTGTGCTCATTGCTTGCCAACTGATCTCAACTGGCTGGCTGGCCAACTCCAGGGATCCACCCCTCTCTGCCCCCACCCCATCCCCAGCATGAGGGTTATGGACACTGGCCATGGCAAGCACTTTCCCAACTGTGTTATCATCTTAGTTTTCTCTTTCCTTAACAGTCATATCCACACAGGTGTTCTATACCATTTGTTTCATAAATGATGTTGATATGGATGGGTAGAGTGTAGGTTAGTTGACAACAATGAGGAAGGATGGCCAGTTGCTGTACTTGCACCTTGATTAGCAAGAGTTTGAAAAGTAAATCTCAGAGCACATTTTCATCTGTTTGTCCTTGGTAAATGTGATGTGTTGAGCTTGCCAGAACCGGTTCGTTGATTTTTATTTGGGTTTTTAATGTATAGGTGTATGAAGCTGATTTTAAGGCAGAATGGAAAGCGTACAAAGAAGCTATGAGCAAGTTTAAAGACCAGCTAACGCCAACTCAGTTGGTATCTTTTGAGAAAGAAGGAAGGCAAAAACGTTTAAAAAAGAAAGCTTCAATAAAAAAGAGAGTAAGTATCATTGAAGTACTCTTTTCCTGTGAAAAAATGTCAACCAAGAATCTAGGTAGTTCTCCCTTGTGTCAGTGACAGTAGAGGTGACGGCAGAGCACTTGGGCACAGCATTTAGACAAGCAGGATGTTATAGCTCACATGGTATGTCTGGGAAGTCCTGGTTGCAACAGTCAGTAGGATTGGTCCGAAGCTTGAGTTATGAAACAAGTGAATGATGCACAGTTAGAATCTTTCCTCTGAGTCTTCCTTCTAGAGTAACTTTCACATTTGAATTGTCTGTAGAGGACCATGAATTTGAATGTTGCTAACCATACTAAATTTCTTCATTAGCATATCAGGAAAATGCCAGCATTCAAGTAGGATTCTATTTCCTTTTAAAGAAATAACTATTAAAACCTCTATCTGCATGCCAAAGTTTTTTGTTTCCTAATTTGTATTAATTTACATGAAGGCCACTGTTTCAAACTCAAGCTACATTTTTCTTTATTTAGAATGCTGTTATGGTTTCTGTAATAAAACTTATGTAAATAAGATCATCGGTATTTAATACCCTTAGTCTGCTAGCCCCTCCCAGACCCCTCACCCCTTTATTTTATTATTAAATTTTGTATATGTGTATGCAGTGTGGGGGAGGGGTCTGACTTACAGGTCAGAGGACAACTGTGAAGTTGATTTTGTCCTTTCACCTTTACAGGGTTGTGCAATACATACCTTTATCTGCTGTGTCATCTCACCCACCCCAGGATTTTATAAATTCAGATACTGCTAGTCTCCACATACAGAAAATCAATAGGAGAGTGCAGTATCTATCACAGTGAATATGGGACCAAGTGCAAGAGATGCTGCATGCCCATCCTGTGGTTCCCCTTCTTGGCACCTGCTAAGAGTTGAATACATCTTTGGAATTTTTAATGTTATGAGTATTAAGGGGTGAGATAAGGTTACTGTGTTTATGAGCCTCAGTGGAGGCATGAATTGATTGGGCCAATATGATTATGTATCCTGCAAGGAGGAAACCGCGATTAAAAACATGTTTTAAGAAAATTTATATGTGAATACAATGATTCAGTTCATGGAAGCTACAAAAATAACACGTAAAGGAAATACCTTTCTGTGTGGAGAAATGCCTCATTATATTACAGTTTTTAAGATATTATGCTTGGAAAAGTTTTTGACTTCCAAGATGTAACAGACATACATATGTATACTTTATATACAAATCACACTGCTGGTGTGGTGCCACAGGCTGTCATTCCTGTCAGCACTTAGATTCTGTTATACATTGTAGTGAATTGTTTTGTTAGATATTAGGCTTCCCAGTATCTGTATCTGACGCTTTTATTATTATTCAGGAATTAACTTTGCTTGGAAAACCAAAAAGACCTCGATCAGCATACAACATTTATGTATCCGAATGCTTCCAAGAGAGTAAAGAAGAGTCTTCTCAGGTAAGCAGAGCTGCAGGTGGTTCGTAGGTTTGTGTTTATAGTTTAAAATCATGTAAGAAGTTGTATGTCTATCATGTCACATAATGAAGAAAATAGAAAATGTGGAAGTTTATTGTGTCTCTTTGAACAACAACAATAAAAAAATCCTTGGAGCTGAGCGTATAGTTCACTGGCAGAACTAGCTGGGTCTGTGTGATACCTCGGGTTTGATTGCCAGCACTGGAACAACATAAGTTCTTGTTCTTACTATACAGTTGGGTGTATGGTGACTATAGGTTGCCATATATACTTTATGCATACACACTAGAACAACTTTGAAAACATTTCTAATTAAGTTACCTTTCTGTTTTTATGGTTTATACAGACACACACAACTCTATATAACATAACCCCTTTAACTTTAAGAGACATAACATGTCTGGTGGTGGCGGCGTATGCCTTTAATCCCAGCACGGAGAGGCAGGTGGATCTATGTGAGTTCTAGGCCAGCTCGGTCTACAGATTGAGTTCCAGGACAGCCAGGATTGTTACACAGAGAAACCCTGTCGTGGGAAGAAAAGAGAGAGAAGAGAAGAGAAAAGAAGAAAAGAGAGAGACATAACACTAAGCTGGGAGGTGGTAGCAGACACCTTTAATCCCATCACTTGGGAAGCAGAGGCAGGTGGATCTCTGAGGTCGAGGCAGCCTGGTCCACAGAGTGAGTTCCAGGACAGGAAACCCTGTCTGGGGCGGGAGAGACATAATACATTTGTATCATGAGAAGTTAAGATTTTTCTAGAAATGCTCTGGTCACGTAGCTTTTCATTGTCAGCATCTCCAAAAAGAATGAGATTAGTTCTGAGGTTGGGCATGAGCTCTCATGCTTTATCCTTTAACAAGATTGGTTACACCTGTTGGGATCCAGCCTTGACAAAATTTGTACCTTCCAGGGTAAGAGTACGAGGATTAGAATTATTAAGCAAAGGCTATGAGAGAAATAAGAGACAGAAACACGGAACAGCATTGGGAGGGACATTCAGTGAATACTGAACCACCCATGGGGTTATTTTCCACATGCTTACATACTTCACTCCAGAAAGTGAGGGAGAGGCAACAGACTTCATTAACATGATATAAGGAATAGACCAAGTATCCTGCAGGCAGCCACTCCCCTGGAACCTCCTGCCAATATCCTTTGAAGGAATAGGAATAACAAGATGGAGCGGATCCACCTCTATACTCAAAATATTAATTAACCATACCCTAGTTCAGGATCTCTTGTTTGTAGCTCCATCTGTTGTCAACAACTTTGAAAGCAAAATTAAGCTCAAACTCACTGACCTTTAGTCAAGGTGAAACAGGCTCCCATCTGTGGACCTCCACAATACCTGTGCAATGGGAACATGCTGTATGTGTGGACATAGTCATAGAGTGTGGTGTTGTGAACCCAAAGCCCATGTCATACCTCTCAAGACTGACAATAGTCGCCGTGTTTTCCTCGTATAAAGTGCCGTGGTAAAGAAGTGTAGATGTCCAGATCACTCACGGGGCAGTTGAGCTCGCTAGGCTCATCACTGCAGTTAACTGGTTCTGTCATTCAGTCACAAGTCCTTTGACTGCACTTACATGTTGTGTATGTTTAAGTAAAATATATATGCAGCGTGATTCTTCTCAGGCTTGTTAGTGACTACTTAATCACTTTTTTTGAGGATTTTAAAATTTTATTCATTTTTCCAAAAACACCTTTTTTTGTGTGTTTAATAAAATCATACTGTTATTTTCCCAGAGTAACCATGATTTGCTTAGAAAAATGGATGTTCATCTTTGAAGTATTTTCCATTAATGGAAACGGGTTTAAAGAGACTAATCATTAAAAGTAAAAAACAGCAAAAAAAGTTAGAATCTTGTGGAAGTCAAAGAAATATCTTCTTGGGCCCTTTTTCTAGTATCCAACATTGGGTTTTTTTTTGTTTTTTTTTTAACTTCCACTTAGCAAAATTGGATCAATTTAGCAATCCTTCTTGTACAGTTTCAAACTCTGGCATCTTCCAGCATCATACTGATAGCCCTCAAGTCTAGAAAAGAAATGTCTGTCGCTCTCCCACAGTGTGAATTCTCGGCTGTCCTCTTGACAAGCTTTACTGGCAAGAGCACAAGAAGGGTTGGTGGTAGATTCACAGCCATGGCCATGGCAGAAGTTCTCTTTGCGATTTTAATTTTTGTGACTCCCTGATACTAAAATGCAGGTTTACCTTTTTGATTGTTAGAATTTCACCTTTTTAAAAAAAAAATATTTATTTATTTATTATGTATACAATATTCTGTCTGTGTGTATGTCTGCAGGCCATAAGAGGGCACCAGACCTCATTACAGATGGTTGTGAGCCACCATGTGGTTGCTGGGAATTGAACTCATGACCTTTGGAAGAGCAGGCAATGCTCTTAACCACTGAGCCATCTCTTCAGCCCCAGAATTTCACCTTTTTGATCATTAGAATTTCCTCAGTCACTGATTTACTCTGGGTCTAGGTACATTTATGTTTTTGTTTTAAAAACTGCTATAGGAAAGCTCTGTGCTGGTGAGAACTTTTAATACATCCATTCTGGCTTGCAGGCTATACCCTAGAATTACCCATCAGCCTGAATGACTGGGCCCTGTCCTTAGTAATGGAATATAACTTGACTATAATTTTATTCATTTAAAAATACTGGCTAAGTTAGATGGGTGGCTCATGTTTGTGCTCCCAGTCCTTGAGAGATCAAGGCTGTCCTAGATCATAAAGAGAATTTTAGGCCAGCTTGAGCCACCTTAGAACATCTGCAAACACTCCAGCCTCCTAACGTCCCCCCCCACAAACTCACATACATAGACGTGTGTACACATGCATATGTGCATGCACAGGTGCACACAAACACATAGATACATATACATACAGATGCACATAGATAATAACACATATGCATACACATGCAGGAGGGGCTTATCAGCAGTTAATCCCCAGCGTATTTACAAAGGAAACATTATTGAAATTACCCATTTCATTTACGATCTTTTTTGAATCCCAGTTTGTCAGTGCTCACTAGCTCAGTACGTTTAGTTTGATGTCAGATCAGTTTGAAGCTTCTGGTTTATTCCAGATTGGTGGCTGCCATCTGTCCAGTGTACACCAGCATGCCAAGCTCCTGCATCGGTGCTCTTGTGCCTTTGCTTATATTTCCTGGTTTATTCTCATTCTAGCTTTTCCTTAATTAAGGATATGTGGACAATTAATATTTCAAGTTTTGCATATCTAAAAACTGCCTTTTTCCTGTGTTTTTAGATTGGCCATTGAGTTATGGTTTGAAAATAATGTTTCTTCAGCATTTCAGGATTATCATTGGTTTACCAGCCACTGTGATCTTTGAGAAATAACAATCAGCAGTTGGGTAGTTGAGTTAGAAAGATCAAGAGTATGAGACCACCTAGGTTGTCCCCAGAACGACAGATTAAAAAATTCTGAGCCAGGTAGTGATGACATAAGCCTTTAATCCCAGCACTTGGGAGGCAGAAACAGGTGTATCTCTTTGAGTATACAGAGCAAGTTCCAGGACAGCCAGGACTGTTAGAGAAATCTTGTCTCGAAAAACCAAAACAAAACAAAAAGTAAATAATAAAAATAAGTAACAAATAAATAAGGCAAAAAAAAAAAATCTGAGCTGATGGGATGGTCATCTGGTAAAGGCACCTTACCTGAGTTTGAGTTCCCCAGACCTGCATGGCGGAAGGTGAGCACTGGCTCCTGTAAATTGTCTTCTAATCTTTACCGTGTGTGCACATACATGTGCACACAAAGAAAAATATCATTTTAGAAATTTTTAGATAAAACCAGTTTGAGTTTGGGTTCTTTTTGATTTGACTTCTTTGCTTGTTGCTTTCTTTTTAGACTCTATATAGCTTGTATTTGTGTATAGACCTTCTGAGTGTCTTCTCATTTTTGTGTTTTTGAACTTCCTTCCCTGTCCCTAAATACTGTATGTTTTCATGTATTTCCCTTGTCTTTTTGCAAGATGCCATTATCCTCAAGAGTGCCTATTCTTCACTGTGACTGTTTTACTCTCTTGGGAATGTGAATGTCTGGAATCTGCCATGGTGGGCATTTAAGCTTCTTTTCACCTTACCCTCTGTGACTCCCACCCAGTCTTGCCTCTGGGACACTGATTTTGCCTTGTAAATCTGGTGCTCCCAGGTTCTCCTTACTGCCAGTGTCTGTCAATTCAGTTACCATTCCAGCCTGCTACTGTCCACAGTTTAGGTGGGTACTGCCCTCTTCTGTTGGTTATTGTCCACATGCATTTATGCCTTAAACTTTATTTAATAGAGTTTGGAGGAAATTTGCAAAACAACCATGTTTTGTCATTCCCCCTGCCTCCTATGACTTTATGTGAACAAAGTCTGAGGGATGTAAAGTGGCTTTTTTCTGTGATACCACCTAGGTTAGCTGATCAGGTGAGTAGAATTAAGGACTGTTTCTCCATTCCTAGGGTGATGCCTAAATATCTTTGCACAAATTTAGAATAAAAAACGGCTACAGGGAAGAAAATAACCTATGAAGTTAGTTTATGACAGAGTGGAGATGAATACAGACATTTTTGATTAAAAGGGATAACTCATAGTATTTCATAGTCCCGTTACATTTCAAAATGTAAATGAAAATGTAACAGCTCAATAAAAATGTAACAGTCCAGTAGAAACAAATCAGTGGATGTTGCTTGTGAATGACAGCTGAGTTCTTTGTTGGGGTAAATGGGGAATGGTCTCTTTTGCTGCCTTCTTAGATGTGTACATCTTAACTGTTATCTTACAGGGAAAACTGAAGACTATAAATCAGGCTTGGAAAAATCTATCTAGTGATGAAAGGCAGGTGAGTAGTACAGTTTCGGGTTTATATGTCCATTTAGAGTACCTTCGAGTACTTCAGATTAGGTTTGCTCATGTAGCAGTGCCAGTGAAGGCAGTACTCAGAGACTGCCTTCATTAAGGCCAGCTTGGAGGATGTCAGTAAATAAACTAACATTTAAAACATGTCTTGTCCCACCTGCCCCTCCGTCTTCTCTCCCCTGAGTTGCTAAATTAACAACCTACCTACCCTTGGACAACACTTTCTTTTTAATTGCTTTTGTTGAGGTATATATTTTTCTCTTCTCCCCTCCCATTCTACCCTCTCCCATGGTCTCCATGCTCCAAATATACTCAGGAGATCTTGTCTTTTTCTACTTCCTAGGTACATTAGGTCCATGTATGTCTCTTGTGAATTGTAGGCTTGCTCTTTTTATTTTTTATTTATTTTTTTATTTATTTTGGCTTTATGTCTAAAAGCCACTTATGAGTGAGTACATATGATAATTGTCTTTCTGAGTCTGGGTTACTTCACTCAATATGATGCTTTCTAGATCTATCCATTTGCCCTTAAATTTCAAGATGTCATTTTTTTTTCTGCTGTGTAGCACTCCATTACATTTTCCTTATCCATTCTTCGGTTGAGGGGCATTTAGATTGTGTCCACGTTCTGGCTATGACAAACAAAACTGCTATGAACATAGTTGAGCACATGTCCTTGTGGTACGATTGAGCATCCTTTAGGTATATGCCCCAAAGTGGTATTGCTGGGTCTTTGAGCTAGGTTGTTTCCTAATTTTCTGAGAAATCGCCATACGGAAATCCAAATTGGCTATACCAGTTTGCACTCCTACCAGCAATGGAGGAGTGTTCCCTTTACCCCACATCTTCTCCAGCATAAGTTGTCATTAGTGTTTTTGATCTTGGCCAGTCTTCTAGGTATAAGATGGAATCTCAGAGTTGTTTTGATTTGTATTTCTCTGATGGCTAAGGATGTTGAACATTTTTTTAAGTGTCTTTCAACCATTTTAGATTCCTCTGTTGAGAATTCTGTTTAGATCTGTACCCCATTTTTTTTTATTGGATTATTTGTTCTTTTGATGACCAATTTTTTGAGTTCTTTGTATAATTTGGAAATCATCAGCCCTCTGTCTGATGTGGGATTGGCGAAGATCTTTTCCCATTCTGTAGGCTGCTGTTTTGTCTTATTGACCATGTCCTTTGCTTTACAGAAGCTTCTTAGTTTCTGGAGGTCCCATTATTAATTGTTTCTCTCAGTGTCTGTGCTGCTGGGGTTCTATTTATGAAGTGGTTTCCTGTGCCAATGTATTCAAGTGTATTTCCCACTTTCTCTTCTATAAGGTTCAGTATGACTGGGTTTATGTTGAGGTCTTTGATCCATTTGGACTTGAGTTTTGTGCATGGTGATAGATACGGATCTGTTTTCATTCTTCTACATGTTGATATCCAGTTATGCCAGCACCATTTGTTAAATATGCTTTCCTTTTTCCATTTGATATTTTTTTCTTCTTTGTCAAAAATTAGGTATTCGTAATTATAGGTCTTTGACTCAGTTCCATTGGTCCTCCTGTCTGTTCTTATGCAAATACCAGGCTGTTTTCAGTACTGTATCTCTGTAATAGAGTCTGAAGTCAGGGATTGTGATGCCTCCAGAAGTTCCTTTATTATACAGGATTGTTTAGGCTATCCTGGGTTTTTTGCTTTTCCATATGAAGTTGAGTACCATTCTTTTGAGGTCTGTGAAGAATTTTACTGGGATTTTGATGGACATTACATTGAATCAGTAGATTGCTTTTGGTAAGATTGCCATTTTTACTATGTTAATTCTTCCTACTCAAGAGTATGGGAGATCTTTCCATTTTCTGGTTTCTTCTTCAATTTCTTTCTTCAAAGATTTAAAGTTCTTGTCATACAGGTCTTTTACTTGTTTGGTTAGAGTTACTCCAAGATATTTTATGTTATTTGTGGCTATTGTGAAGGGTGATGTTTCTCTATTTTCTTTTCTCAGCCCATTTATCATCTGTGTAAAGGAGGACTACTGATTTTGTGGGGTTTTTTGAGTTAATATTGTACCCTGCTACATTACTGAACGTGTTTATGAGTTGTAGAAGTCCCTTGGTAGAATTTTTGGGGTCGCTTATATAAACTATCATATCATCAGCAAATAGTGAGAGTTTGACTTTTTTTTTGATTTGTATTCCTTTGATCTCCTTTTGTTGTCGTCTTGCTCTAGCTAGGACCTCAAAAACTATATTGAATAGATATGGAGAGAGTTGACAACCTTGTATTGTTCCTGATTTCAGTGGGATCGCTTTGAGTTTCTTTCTATTTAGTTTGATGTTGGCTGTTGGCCTGCTGTATATTGCCTTTATTATGTTTAGGTATGTTCTTTGTATCCCTGCTCTCTCCAAGACCTTTATCATGAAGGGATGTTGTATTTTGTTGAAGGTTTTTTATTTTTTCAGCATCTAATGAGATGATTGTGTGGGTTTTTTCTTTTCATTTAGTTTATATGTAGATTACATTGACAGATTTTCGTATGTTGAACCATCTCTGCATCTCTGGGATGTAGCCGACTTGATCATGGTGGATAATTTTTCTGATGGAGAACACTTTCTTAAATACTTTCTCTCTTAACCTTTTCTCCTCTAACATTTTATTTAAAATTATTTCTGTATTCTCCTTTAGTGCATGGAGAATAGTGATATAGTTTCGGTGTAGATGGAAGCATTCCAGAGATTAATTACTCTTTTCTAAATAAAATATTTTAACACTCTTTCTCAGGTATACATTCAGCTTGCTAAAGATGATAGAATTCGTTATGATAATGAAATGAAGTCTTGGGAAGAGCAAATGGCTGAAGTTGGACGAAGTGATCTCATCCGTCGCAGTGTGAAACGCTCAGAAGACGTCCCTGAGGATTAAAAGATAGAAGATGGAGTTGTCTTTGTTACTAGGCACAAGAAACCAATTAGGTCTCAATGCCTTAAGCTGTCAAAGTAGAAAGGATAAGGTCGGTTAACACTTGATATTCAGTTCCTTTTTCTGTAGCCCATGGACTTCTGCCTGTTGAATACATTCTGTTATAATCTCAAGCCCTGACAGTGGAAGATCTTGCAGAGTTCTGCGTTTTCCTTAAGAACTGGGATGAGACTGCCCGTGCATCTGCATGTAGTGGGGATGCATCACTCTGGGTTTGATGGAGGTCGATAGACTGGGAAGTAACTTTTACACTCGTAACAGTTACGTGAGGTTTTGTGAAATTTTTACACTGATGACAATACCATGGGTGTGTGAAGTTTTTACACTGATCACTGTTACGTGCAAGTGTGCCTCTCATGTTTTGGGGCCAGAGCTGCTTTCACAGCTATGGCAAAGCTGTGGCGTAACTGCGCATTCAAAGAAGCTTTCAGACTCATTAGATGAAGTGATTCCTAGGGACAAATCATGTATAGAGTTGATGCTTGTACATGCAAGTGATTGCTGACATCATAACAGCTTTTTATAGTAGTAGGAACAAAGATTTACAAACCTTTTTCATTATTTTTTTTTCCTAAAGTAAAAACTAAAAAATGATGTACCAGGTCTATGCATATTGTTTTTATTGCATAGAATAAAAATTCTAATTTTCCAAACATGTTTCTGAATTATGTATTTTAAGATGAATTATTTGGTTAGCAGATTTTTTTTCTTGTAAGGATTTTTTTTCCTGAATTACTTTTTCATGTGAGAATATTCACACAGCTTGTGTGGCTTAAATTTTTAAATGAGAAATGTGAAAAAACAAGTCTACAAAGTCAGAGATCTGATCATTGTCCATGACTGCTAATGGAGAGCCAGCTGCTGAGCTGACCAGGTCCAGCCACTGGTTGACTGCTTTTCAGAGCCTATTCGTTAGAAATGTATTTATAATTTAAATAGGTTTTTAAAAAGAAAACCATGAACGTGAAAATTAACATGCTCTTTAGTGTTTGTGAATAGAATTGGAAGACAGCCATATGCTCTCTCGGGTTTGGTATGTTGGGTGCTCTGCTAGAGGAACTGGGCTGGGAAGCCGCCGCGTACACACGTGGCCCCGTGCAGATAGTTTTCCACCATGGTTTGTGGCATGGTGCAGTGTAGCTACTGTGCATGAAGGGCTAGTTTTCTCAGCTGTCCTTGATGTTCTTGTGGAACTGTCGTCCTGTCTTGGGGTCGTCACTGGGTCACTGTAAGCCTAATTGTGCCTGTGCTAGCAAGGGAAATAGTCTTTAATTTCAAGTAGTGGTTAGTGTGGAGCAGAAGGCCATGTTGTATGAAATGAAGCCCTCCCTCCTTATCGTTACTGTAGCCCAGAAGCATCTTCCCACCTTTGAGCTGGCACATCACAAGCCCTCACCAAGCCCAAGCTATGACTCTTCAACATCTGTTCTGTTTTAGAGAACAAGTAATTTCAACCCCACACCACTGAGCAGACCTCAGACACGGGGTAACAGAGTTGGCACTCATGTATTTTATGTTTTGAAGATGCTCAGAGATGGTGCACTTAGAACTCTAGAGGACTCAGGTGTTTCTCTTTGTTCGTGGGAAAGTAAGTTTGAAATCACTGAACTTGACAAGGTAGGAGCAGAGGAACACACGGAGGAGAGATGTGAAGGAAGCTTGCCTAGACTGCAAGGCTTTCAATTCTATTTCTAGCACTGCAACTCTCTGATAGGTAATCAGAATTTTGAAGATGAATTAAAAAAACATAATTTTCCCCAGTGCATTCAAATTTAGGCCTGATTTTTCCCTTGTTGAAGTAGATGGCATGGCATGAGTTTGAAGCCAGAGTAGTTTGGAGGTGGGGGAAGAGGCCAGGGTGAGCGGTGTGGTCACATTGTTATCTTCCCAAATGCAATTCCAGGAGAGGCTTTAGCCCTGCATTCCCACAGTGTTGTCTGGAAGGGAACTGATTTGTGCTGTCCCCGTGTCTCAGCATTCAGAGCGACAGGTGCTGTAGTGATGCAGGGTGGTGCCACGGGTCCCAGAGCTCTAGCTGTGTAACTACTTATCTCAGATCTACCTTTTCATGATGCTTGGTTGAATTTGATTTTCAGTGTTTGTAAGAGAAGCTCACTGTTAGTAGCTTTCCATCCCTCCTCCCCCATACCTCCTTTATTTCCCTCACCCTCCTTTAAAGACTCTCTGTGTAGATAAATCTGGCCTCGAACCTACAGAGATCAGCCTGCTTTGCCTCCCAAGTGCTGGGATTAAATAAGTGTACCACCACACCTGGCATCCATGCCACGCCTTCACGCTTTTTTTAAATTCAGTAAATGTTGAGAGTGGCCTACTATATAGTTGTACACATTAAGTTTTTGTTGTCAAGGATGAGAACACAGCATCAGTAATCAGTGGCCTGTTTTTGTTGTTGTGTTTTTTTTTTTTCAACAACAAAGTAGTTGCCAAAGGGGCTGATGAAAAAGTACTGGAAGGAACTGAAGGGATGAGGTGGAACTGTGTCTGTACAACATTAGGTTGCTGTGTGGGGACTTTGTGCTTCTGAGGTTGGAGTGACAGTGTCAGGGTGTCTGATCGTTAAGGTCTACAAGGACTTGGTGCTAATTATACTTTCTGATGTTTATGTAACATTGCTGACAGCCTGCTCTTCTGGCTAGCTCCTTTTTTGGCAATGCCCTTTGTGGTGGTTGAAGTAGGTATGGCCCCCATAGACTCCTGTTTGAATGCTTGGCCCATAGGGAGTGGCACTATAAGGAGAGAACTCTCAGCTCCTCCAGCACCATGTCTGCCTGCATGCCGCCATGCTTCTCGCCATGACAATGATGGACTAAACCTCTGAACTATAAGCCCGCCCTAATTACATGTCTTCCTTTATAAGAGTTGCCGTAGTCATGGTGTCTCTTCACAGCAATAGAAACCCTAACTGAGACACCCTTAAAAACAACAAAAAACCCTAGTTGGTACCAGTGTGTATTTCTAAATTTAAAAGTTGGTATTAGTATATTTTACATGGATTTAAGGTAGCTAGAAAATCTTCCTGGATTTCCTCACATTCACTGGACCACCAGGGGGCGCCAAAACAGCAGCTTTAAGGTAGATAGATAGTACCCATCAATTTCTGTTTAGCCATTTTCAAGAATCTTCTTTTCTTCCCTAACGGCAACTCTCCCTCCTTTATCACACTTGGCACCAGCCTGTCACTGATAAGTTTGGAAATGTTATAACAGTGTTTGTATGTTTTGAAGTATAAACAATACTTTTTTTATAATTGAACTTAGAAAATAAAATGAATTTATTACTCTGAATTTGTAAAACTTCCTAAGCAAAAAGTAAAATTATGCACAACTGGTACTATCAATTGTTTATCATTCACAAATCAGATACTTTTGGTAATTCAACCACTGGCTGTATTTGTTATAAAATACATTAAACATAAAACCATTCTTTTGTAAAGTTAGAAGTGCTGACCAAGAAACTGCAAATTTAAATTAAATGCTAAACATGAATTTGAAATGTGTTTTAAAAAACTATCATTTAAACCAGTCTCATTAGAAACTATAATGGTTTCTAATATAAGCGTGATGTTTAAGAAGATCAAAAATGATAAAAGATGTATTTGCAGGTTCCTTCTGGGTATAAAATGGCAGAGGTTGGAGAGTCCCCAGCATCCTCTGCTCCAGAACATTCCTAATCTTAAACCTTAAGCACCGGCACTACAACTAAAGCATTCTGTACATTACGTTTGTGACAGGTCATAGGAGAACAGAAAGAGTTGGTAATGTGTGAGATGACTTTCAGGTTGTCTATAGAAGGTGTAGATACAAAATATGAATTTCATTTTTAGATGTACATTTTACCCTCAAGATCTCGTTACACACACACAGAATTTTTTTTTTTTTTAGGTTTCCAAGATTTCATTACATATATATATGTTTCCAAAATCTGAATCTGAAGTTTATCTAAAGCGCACACAGGGACAGGAAGGTTGTCTAGCATCCATGAAATCCTGGGCTCAGTCCCCACTTCTGCCAAAGGGTGGCAGTGAGTATGAATTATTAAGTGGTTAAGCATTGGGTTAGGAGTGTTCAAATCCTGACCACCCCCTTGGGGTTGGACTAGGCCTCTTGTCCAATGTCCGTTAGATTGATCGTATATATTATTTGTAGGACAGAATGCCTAGTATGACTTTGAGGGGAGGAAGGATCTCTTGCCTTGTGACTGCAGAGATTTCATGCCACATCTTGAGTCTTTTGATGGTGGGTCCAAGAATAGACAGGGACCTCTTGGAAAGATGTAGAGAAAGAAAGTATTCATGGTTGAGAGTGGACAGGAAGTAGAGGAAAGAGATACAGTAAGTAGAGGAAAGAGATACAGGAAGCAGTTGGGGCAAGATCTAGTTCCCCAAGGAAACATCCCAGTGATCACTTTCTGAAGCTAGCTGGCCCCACGTCCTGCACCACAAGCTGGGAGCCAAGCCTCCAGCACATGTGCTCTGATGGACATTTCGGCTACAGACCATAACACCTAACTGTAGCTAATGGACATGTAGAGCTACCAAAGCAGGCCTTGCTTTCCAGCTTCATGTAGTACCCTTTCCTGACTCTAGCTCTCAACTGTCATGACTGTCTTGGCAAATAGGCATGCATTGTTTCCATAAAACATCTCTACTTTGGAATTTTCAGTTTTTCTTAGCTCCAAGGTTTTCTATAGGTTCTATAGCTTTAAGATAACTTAGATTTCTTATTTTTAACACATTTGGGGGGGGTTATTTGTGTATATGTATGCAGGTTTGTACCTGTATATGCAGGTGCCCCACCAAGGAGGCCAGGAGAGAATTGGGCCCTCAGCTGTAGTCTGAGACAGTTGGGAAGCACCTGATGTGGTGTTGGGAACCAAACTCTTGAAGAGTAGTATGTGTTTTTAGTACTCTCCGCTGAGCTCACTCTCCAGCCCAGCTCTGAATTCTCTTTCTCTAGAGGACTCCCTCTGGCATGTTAGTCAATGAAGGAGGGCAACAGGTAACTCATCCCCTTTATGGATGTACACGTTCTCCAGCTCCTGGTGTCTGGGGTTTGGTTTTGTTTTTTGCATTCGCCTGGCTTGTTTGATGCCCTAACACGTGGTCTATTCTGCACTGTAATCCATGTGTTGGCCTTGTGCCAGCCAGCATGCAGGAGGGTCTTCTCTCCCCGAGTCCACTGCTCACATGATGTCACAGAGTAATAACCGTCTTAAGAGTTTTGTGAGCCTCCTCCTCTCTCCAGGGAGGGATATTCAAATTCAGAGGAAGTAGCTGTGATACAGCCTGTTACTAAACAGACATTCTAGACCTGAGGCCAGGCTCATCACAGCTTCTGAAGATGCCTTTCATCATAACCTGGGGTCTTAGGCCTCATCTTGCTTGGTTGAGACAAGCCCCTTTGAGTTTTGCCTCTGAGCCTGACAGGCTAGCTGACCTACTCGAGCTGTCTGGAGTTTCTTCCACCTTCGACTTCCAGCTTCTGTAGGAGTGCTATGTGTCCAGATTCTACATGGGTTCTGAGGATTTGAACCTAGGTCCTTATACCTATGTGGCAAATTAGCCAACGAGCCATATCCCAGTCCCTGCATAAGCCCTATGTTCATTAAAATGTAAGTTCTAATAGACAGGGAGAG